TGGATTCTTTCACCTCCTACTGAGTCGACAAACGTGTCCACCCCGAAACAACACATTGCCCCTGCGCATGTTGTCTGTTCTACAACAGAATGTTGCACAAAATAAGTGCACATAATAGGCTAGCACATCATTTGCATGAGAACGGAGAACCTTTGTCTCCATTATTCGTGCCCCCGTTTACAAAGTCATTACTCAAACACCGTGTTTATTATTAGACATTCTTCGAAGTGCTCTGGGAGAAAATCATTCAGGGAGGCTAGAAATACCCACAGAGACAGGTGTACATTCATCCTTGTTAGAAATGTCACGAGACCTTTCGGTGCGCTGTACGCCTGCACGCACGTGATATTTCTGCAGAAGAAAAACTCGGAAAAAGGGAGGCATGTCCTTGGCGTGCACATGCGCACACACGCACACACACACACACACACACACGCACACACACACACACACACACACACACACACGCTTGCACAAATTGTTTATGGGCAAGATGCACGTGTAAAAAATTGGTGTTAAAAACAGAATGCCGGTGTTGGATTAACACCACTCAGTAATAAAATAGCATGTAATCTAATATGTGACACAGATATGTTGTTAAAACAGCGTGTCATCTGGATCCGACCCTGATTGGTCCTTATTTGAAAGTAAAGTTGAATGGTTAGGGTCGAGACAATTTTCTTCAGCCTCATTTTGGTCTTGCCTGCAAGATGGAATCAAACGTCCCTACGGTAGGCAAAACTTTCACATGATGGTATATGATGAAAAACGTTTTTTTCGCCCTCTTAATTGGGTTCCTCTTGAGTTTTATGGTTCATATTGTTTAAAAGATAACATTGATCAGACGTGCGTCTGTCACTTGGGCAACTTGGCTAATCATAGTTGCCTTTGCTGTGATGTCACATGGACTCTTTGAAAACACTCGCATAGGTAGAAGTGCCTTGTCGTCTTTGTGCTTGTGAAGTCACATAATCACGCGAGACCTCTCCGTTGGAAGACCGGATTCTTGACCGATGGTGGAAGAGAATCTTCATGTGTCAGGAGAGTTGTGTTGAGATTATCTGAGCACCCCACACAGAATGTGACCAAAACCGTCATACGCTCCATTTTTTATCGCTATGTGTAAGGTCTGCCAAAGACAAATAATCTTTTAAGATTCCAAAAAATCCTTATGCGTGTACTCAGTCAAAGCAGGGACGTGAATTCGTGTGTGAAAATGCGCACAAGAAGTATTCAAAAATAAAAAGCAGGCCTTGGTTCTGGGTGGGATGTGCCCGTAACACCTCACTGAGGAGGTATCCAGGAGGCATCCTTATCAAATGCCGGAGCCAATTCAAATGGCTCCACTCAATGCAGAGGAGCAGCGGCTCTACTCTGAGCCCCCGAATGAACGATCACCCATCTCACCCTATTTCTAAGGGAGACCCGAGTCACTTCAAATCCCAGACTCTGCTTCCTCATGGGGAGACACGTCGGTAGAACAGAAAAAATATATATAAATATAGAAAATATCTATTATAATTTTGATGATTATATTGAGTAATGCTTCATAAGAAACAATCCAAATTAGGTTAGAATTGGCCCTCTGGAAAAAAAAAATGTTTACAGTATATTACAAATATGATTGCATGAAATAAACGTTTCTACAATATTTGACTGTAATGCAACACATCTGTGTGCAGTATACCGGTAGTACTGTATGAGCACGATAGCTTTCCCAGTATGTCGCGTGCCGTGATTTGTCCCCTAACATTTTTCCTCATAAAAATGCAGCTGTATCCAAGCATATAAAAGGACATGACGTGAATATGAACTGCAACCATTCCAAATACACTTCCTTGTATAGCTGCTTTTGTGTAACAATGTGTTGATTGTCACTTCCTCTCAATGCCAAAAAATGACCACGCTTATAATTAGTGCACCAGCTTAAAGGGGATGCGTTCAGTCCGGGCCACGCTCCTTTTAAAGTATTCTTCACAGCAAATCTAACTGTGACGGGGAGACCCTCGGGTGCACACTTGAGAACAACAACAACAGAGAGAGGAAACATCTGCGGAGCGGCTCATTGCACACGCTGGAATGTAGGCATATGTAACATGACTCACTGATGTTTATTTTGACTCGCATACTAAGCGCAATGTCTGATGTTTTGACACTTTCACAGAGCTGAATGAGGAATCCAGCAGCACAGCAAAATACAAGCTCAGTTGTAAAATGTGCAAATGAAGATCTCGGTCAAGGTGCCGAATATCTCGAAATGTTTCTTAATTCAGTTGTTCTCAAACTTTTCACGTCAAATACCACCTAATAAAATCCTCTCCAACTACCAGGATAATGACCAAAATTTAAATACTGTTCCATAGTTGGGCTACATAAATGTATCCAAAACAAGACAGAGGTTTGATTGTTGATGTCATGTTTTGTTCTTGTGTACCTCCAGCAGGAGTGGGGGCGGTGTTGTCCAAGGGCTCTCCAGTTGAACAGAAACTCCTCCCCGGTGCTTTCTTCTCTCGAAGACTCACCCCAGCAGAGTCCAACTACGACGTGGGTGTTAGAAAACGACCCGGTGGCAGACAGACCCGAATCCAGAAATATCATTCCAGATCAGTACTTCGTGGGAATGTTACGGGGGGAGGTCGAGGCGCATGAAAGAACCAAAGTCCCAGATGTATGCCCCTCTATATGACTTTTTGCGCCCATTCATCTGTACCCAGAAGTTCTTCAATGGGGGCACACATCCAAGTTGGCATGCCATCCGGGAATAAACAGAACTATGCAAGTAATTGCACAAAGATTTTGGTGGCTGGAGCTTCGGGAGGATGCCGAGGACTTTGTCAAAGCGTGCTCCGCCTGTGCCTGCGGGAAGTCTTCCCACCAACCACCGGCTGGTTTGCTGCGACTGTTACGACCTCCACCTCGATCATGGTCTCAAAGGACTTCATAACTGGCCTTCCATCTTCACGAGACAAGTCCATAATACTTAGCACTGTTGACCGTTCCTCCATGTCCGCTCATGTCATCGCCCTTTCCAAATTTCCTTCCACCTTAGAAACTGCCAATCTGCTTCGTTACGACGTTTTCTGCATTCAAGGGATCCCGGTGGGCATTGTCTAAGATCGATGTCCCCAATTCGTTTCCCAGGTGTGGAGGCGCTTTTATCGAGCCATGGGAGCCACTGCGAGCCAGTCTTCCGGATATCACCCACAAACCAACGGACAAACAGAAAGAAAGAACCAGGACTTGGACACTGCACTCTGCTGTGTTTGCCTTCATCAGCCTACGTCATGGGCCACCCATCGGCCCTGGGTAGAGTACGCTCATCACACCCTCGTCTTGTCAGCCACGGGGTGGTTCCCATTCATGACAGCCTTCGGGTACTAGCAACCACTATTCAATGTCGCAGGAGAGGAGCTGGAGGGAGACCAGGGCCGCCCTGTCTCAGACGACAACAGGTAATCAGAGGATAGAGGACCGACGACGACGTCTGGACTATCGCATGGGGCAGAAGGTGTGGCTCTCAACCCAGGATCTTCATCTGGCTGGCACCTCGAGGAAATTGGGGCCACGGTTCACCGGACCGTTCGTGGTGGAGGCCATCATAAATCAAGTTTCCGTTAAGAACCGGCTACCCCCCACCATGAAAGTTCATCCGGTGTTCCACGTAGCCTTGCTCAAGCCTGTTGCATCCAGTCCTCTGTCTCGACCTCCCGTCTCGCCTTCACCGCCGCGAGTAAGTGACGGAGACCCTGTGTACACAGTGACTATTTCTCTAGCGATAACCCACATACTAGTGATACTCATGCCAGTGAGAATGTTTCAATGCATTACGAGGTATTAAAACTACACGAGATCAGAAAAGAATTTCACGTTTTCCACATTTTGTTGTTGGAAACTTAATCCAAATTTGTTTGATTAGTTTTTCTTTCTTATTTGCAATAAATTTGCAAAAAAACAAAAAAAAAGTTCCAATTCAAACATGACCCCACTGAGGACAAGCACTATAGAAATTGGCTGGATAATACTGTGACAAATAGGAAGAAAATCTAATGGCCGATGTTCACTGCTGTTCCCATCACAGCGTGTTAACCTGATTTTCTTGACAGCATTGTAGGTAAGCATGTCCAGTTTAAGTCACAACAGCGGGGTCAGCAGACAGGTTTACTTTGGATCAAATGATACAGCTACAGAATTAAAATTGGGATGCCCCACTTTCCCAACTTTGATCATGTTAGCACCTCCACTTTATTGCTTTTAGGACACCATTTAATTAATCAAGTCATCTGCCCATCACGCAAGTGAGAGTTAACAGTAGGTGAATGTCAACATCACCACAGCACAATGAGGACACAGAGTAACAGTACAGCCGCCGCACGTGTCCTCGTCAGAGACACCTGAGCCTCGCTGTGCACGTGCCTTATGACCGCTCATTTCAGCCATCATTTTTCCATCAGCGAGATGAATGTCACGCCAAATGTAGGTCAAAACACAGACTGAAAGCCTTTCATAAGACGCTGCTTTCCATCCTAACTGCAAATAGGTGGATGGACCCTCTATTTTGCCATTTTTCCGGCCTTACTCGAGACCGATAATGAAACTTAATGGACTACTGTTAGATGAGAAAGGGCCATCTCATACAACCGTGCTTCAATCAACCTATTTGACAACTTTTGATGAAATCTGGAACGTCACATTAAGTTTCGTTTTTGAGTATTCATAGTGTAATTAAGAAATAACGAAATATTCCGCATACGTACTGTATAACGTAAGTTGCGTTTTGTTTTTTTTATGTGGGATTTTTGTGATCCCACCGCATATCAGAGAGCACTGGTCCAAAGAGAAAAATGGTGGTGACAAAATACTGATAATGGAACTGCGGTGTAGTGGGAGCATAGAGACAAAATTGGTACACCTATTTTTGTGCTGGCAGCTCAATAAAATAGAGAACAAGCAACAGAATATACACTGCAAAGCCAGCTATGTTTAAATGTCAAGAGACTCACCTCCCCAGGCACACCAGTAGTAATCACCCTCTGTATATCTGCAGGCGGATCCCTGAGAAGTACATGACAAGTTTTAATATGTAGCGGTTAACTTCAAGAATTAAATGGAATAATTCATTAATATGAGCCGCACCATTTTGAGAGAAAACATCACCAGCCGGAGGCCGAAATGAGTCGCTTTGTGAACGTCATGTGACCAAACACAGAAGAGAGGTGAGTCGTGGCCCACGTTCGCAAGGCAGTTTGACGTCAATTTCAGTCGACAGCAGGGGGCGATGCAGGATAAAACGTCAGTTCCCTGAGATGGATGAAAACAAGTGGATTAATCTGCCCAATTTTTATTCAGCAAATGCAACATTAATCAGATTACCAAATTCAGAGTTGCAAAGAAAATTTTTGACTTGAGTTCCTCCTTTAGAAATTACTGCACTGAGAACGCCAATGACAGACGGTGTGATTGACAAGTTATGAATCACTCGCTGTCACACTGCGGTCACTGACAAACCCTGTCATCTTGGCGTTCTAGTGCTTTGCTGACAATTTTAGTATATCCACCTCTGGGGGAAAAAAAATGCCCATTCCTTGATGGTTAAAAAGTGGGCAAGACTTGCTGAGCAAAGTGACCTCAGTGGGGGTTCAGAAACAAGAGGCCCGTTTATCACATCTTTTGTATTTTTAATTGATTGTGCATTCCAAAACGTAAAAGTTCAATGTTCCTCAGTGTTATAGTAACAATATTCAGTTTTACAAATAATTCATGTTCCCAACATAGCAGTTGTGGGTAACGTTGGCTTGATCCACAGTACTAATGCTAGCTTAGTATGGGTTGCAGGGCTATTTTATAGAAACCAGGAAAACTGAAATGGTGAAAAATACTTTCACGCTAAATCCCCACAGATGAGTACGACACAGTTCACAGCCTTTGCACGTTTTTAGCAATTATCATCAAACGAGGGGAATGCATTGAGAAACAAATCTCTCATTACACTTTACTGGGTCTTTAAATTTAAAATTAAATTGTGGACGGTGAAGTGATGTCATTTTTTTTGGAACACCTTGCATATTAGAAGCAAGAAAAACAGCACCATGTATGGATTTGGGGGGGCACGGCTCTGTAATACTCTTGTTACATCCCAAAGCAGAACATTATTAACATTTTCTTGTTGTTTTGCAAAAGTGGCTAAAGTGTATTTGCATTGAATACCTCACCCCAAACTCACTGACCCATTGCTAAAATCTTCCAACCACTCCTCGTTCACTTCTGCAATCCTGCATCTTCACTTGTGGCCGAAATAAACCCTCACCATCCGGCGGCTGACAATCACACGTGAGCTGCTAATCACACCGCCCTCTCTTTCAATCTTTCGTCAAGCGTCACACACTGTGAATGAAAACGGACGAAAACCTCTTTGTAAGACCGAAAAGCCTTTCAACCTTCACATATGAGTCTGCATTGTTGGCAAAGTTGTTTCTGTCAAGTCTCTGGTGAATGGAAAATCAGTAAAACAAGAATGAGGACACACTGAAAACATTGTATTCATTGTCACGTTTTTAAATCAGTTTGATTCATGTTTTTTTTTGTGATAAATGAATCAGATATATCCTCGAACACCACATGAACATCTAACATGTGGACATACTGTACAGTTTTCATAAAGGCACACTTGTATCACAGTGGTTTTCTGTTTGTTTTCAAATAGGCAGGCCCTTCTTGGAAAGAAGTTGCTTCATACACAACAAGTATAGCATTTACACTTATATTAGGCTGCTTTAGCAATACAACCACATTTCAGAATGGCTCTCGCGGGACTTTTTCTTCTTTTCTCACTGGGAAATATTTGGAAAGCACGTGAGAAAAAGACAGCTGACAGGAAAAAACACACTGTTTTGTATTATATATTCGCTGACAAAAGCTACCCATCACCTTTCTGCTGACTCTGGTATTGTTCAAGAAGATGAGAGTCGTATGAGCTTTGCTGCACTTGCCTTTATTTAAAATAATATAAGGCAGTGTATTTACTCTATCCTGTCTTGTCGAAAAAAAAAAAGTGAGTGTTTAATTTGTTAAATCACAAGCGTGTTGAATTTGGGTTTATGTAACCCAAACACGATGCTTGTTGTCTGAATTCAAATGCTCCATTCAGTGTGAATGAGCCGATTAGAAACGCTGCTTATGTGATTTTGTCTGTTCAAAGGCTCATGCAAATGTTGCCTCTGAAGGCTTAGCTTTCTTATTGTTGAGAAAACAAGCCAGTGGCTTAGACCGGTGGAGACCAACCAGCCTGTTGTTTAAAATGCAGTCAACCAGGACTACTTAGCTAGTATTCTATCTGCAATCCAGACAAAACTTACTCATGCCAAAAACATGAAACCTTTGTGGTCCTGGCGTTGGCGCCAAGAGATGAATCAAATGTGAACTACACATTTACTGTGCATGTATTGGCTGTTCAATGACAACCGTTTCAGTCTACTTGATGGCAATTTGGACTTTTTAATCATAAACTGTCTTTCATATTCTCATCTATGCGCTGTCAAAAGGGGAATTCGCAATAACAATAACAAATAAAACACTTTTTGAAATTCTTCTTAAAATAGCCAACGTGACCTGACAGAGGCACGAGTAAAATCATCTAAAAAGAAAGGAAAAAAAAAAAGAAAAAAAGTTTTTCTTTTCCATGCTACTGATATAATGATAGTAGAACATAGTAATTCAAGTACTGTACATCCTTTTTTAAGAGCAATTAACTTTTAATTTTCAAGAATTTGGGGCTTTGCTGAAACTGGGGCAGAATATCCACCTCCGGAAAAAAAAAAAAGATCATCCCCTTGTTTTCCAACTACTGGGCATAAGACGAGAAAACAGAAGCAGACCAAAGAGACGTCATGCAACTGAGGATTCAGAAACAACATGGAACTAACATTTCTCCTAGACAGGTAAGGTTGTGTGTTTCTTCAATTGACCGTACATTTCAAAAGAGAAAACTTCAAACCAGTATCATGTTGGATTCTATTTTTGGTGACGGGCAAAAATCCGGTGTGGGTTTGATGCATGCTGTTTACTCAGCAGTGCCCCATTTTTAGGGAACATTCATTTACAAAATGAGCAAGCAATGCCATCACCTTAACCGCTGTCCTGAAAGCTGGCACTTGCATTGCATTGCCTCTCATAATGGAGAGGCTTTGAGGGATGAGTTCCCAGTGAATGTTTACGCATCCGTGGAGCATTCCTCTGACCTCTTCTACTCTCCCCAGTGCATTCTTCTTTACTTGGAACATGAAGAGCTTTCTGCCTATTGCATCTTTCGGTCACTACACCATTGCTTTTGTGGGCCTTGTTTTGTAGCCTCCTGGGATTGAGAAAAAAAAAAAAGATGCAAATTGTATCCCTGAATCAAAAAAAGATGTTTCTTATGAGTACGTCCGCCTCACAATGCAGAAGTGTTCGGTTCGATTCTGGGTTCCTGCCATCCTGTGTGGAGTTTGCATGTTCTACCCGTGCCTGTGTGGGTTTTCTCCGGGTAATGGCTGGGATAGGCTCAAGCACGCCCGAGACCCTCGTGGGGATCAGAAAATAGATGGATGGATGTTCGATATGGCTGAACAGTAATAACCGTTCTGTGACCTCGGTTGTGGGGATCCTAGTTTACTATCAGTCTAGGTTTGGATGCCAAGTCTCCTCATCCAGTAAATAGCAGGCTGGGCAATCCCATCAGCAGGAGGTGCCATGCTGTCCAAAACTGTTTTCATCATTGGCTGGTCAAGTCGAGTCAAGTCTATTTATAGGGCGTGAGCTGAGCTGATTAGTCCTGTACGGAGATCCTGTAGATTAGAGAAAGGTGAAAGTGTTGTAATTGTCACATGTGCAATGTCGTCGTTTTTTTCCCCAGTTGTACACGTTTGTTGGAGTATATTAAGAAAAAGCCTAGACATGGGTAGAACATGATAAAACAACACAGAAGTTAGGCATTAAAAGTAGCCTCTGCGTGCAATAATGAGGGAGGCGGGGGGCGGGGGGGGGCTTTGTCATTGATGACTCAAAACAAAAGAGGATGAAAAAAACTGTTCAAAAAGAAAGCCCGCTGTAACAAAGAGTGACATTTTTACTGGAAGTCACTTACCGGAAAGTCATCCTCGTTTTTCTATAGACTGTATCATGCCTATTTGTCTCTATTGCTGTGTGTCAATGAGCTGATGAGTACCGAATGAAATTTCGTTTACACAATGTACAATGATAATTATGTCGTCTTGTTCACGTACCCCATTAGGGTTCACGTGAGGCTCGAGGCTACTTCAGCTGACTTTGGGTGAAAAGCAGACTCCACAGTTGCCACTTAATCACAAGGCACATCGAGACGGACAAACATTCACACACATATTTATTTCAACTACATCGAAGTTATATGAGTTTGACCACTACACCACTGACGTCACATTTTGTACTTTCACTTCACTGCCAGTCTGTGCCTTTTTTCCTCATATGGCCGTTGTTGCTAATTGTGCTTTTTTCAGAACTGAGTTCCTTCTGGCTAGTTTTTAATCTTCTAGTCTTGAAGTGTATTCACATTTCGGTCAGTCGCAAATGGTTTCAAGGTAAACTCATTTGAGGTTCTACATTGACAGAATTGATGTGTTTAGTAAGAGTCCATTAGATTATAAATATCTTTATTTCTTTGTTTGTTGTTCTTTATCCAAACTTGGTAGCATTCCAAGCCCTTGAGAAGCAATTCCCCAGGAGCCACAGTTCATAAAGGTACGAAAATAAATAAATAAATGCCCATAATACTTCACCTCCAGTCATTCTTCTTTGTCAAGACATCTCCAGAATGCTCTTCCTGGCACTAAACCGCCTAGTGTTTGTGTTTTTCCACTCTCATTGTTTTACTTTAGGCAGGTTATTTTTAAGCATTGAGGCTAAATTTATCCTCCTAATCTTATTTTTCTAAATCAGACTAGAGAGTGACAAAGCTATTAGTTTCACAGATTTCCACTTCACCAACAGGGAACATCACACTGGTGTAATAGAACAACAAAAGTGAGGAAATAAAATTAATCTTAGTGGCTTTTTTTTTTTTTTTTTTGTGGTTGGACACATTGAAATCATTTGGATCCAGTAGATTATACATCTAATTGACCAAAAAAAAAAAAAAGGAGTAAATTCAACACACCATTTTTTCAGTTTTATAGTTAAATCTGTGTTGTGATGTCCATACGTTAACTCATTTTACATATTTTTTTTTGTGTTACATTATTGCAGGGGTGTCACATTGTAGTTACCGTTTCCCTTGGAGGGACATTATGAATTTTGGGAAACCGTATACATGTTTAATCCCCTCCACATACAGTATTACATACGC